TTTTTTTATTGTGAGTTATATGATAGTTTACATGGGAGAACATTAGCTATACATCATGCATTATCAACCAACCAAATGGTACACCCCGCAAGCCTGCCCCCTGGTTGTCAGCACACAGCTCCTCTCCCTCTCTGGGTCTAGAGTTCCCAGCCATCTCTCCAAGTCATTGTCTCTGCCTCCATCTGTGGTGTTACTGTTTCTCTGGGTAGGGTCCTGCACTCTGCTCTTCTCCCTTGATGGTCCCAGGGTCATAAGCTCCTGGAATGCAAAGACAACCATTCCCCTCCTTTTGCTACAAAACGTCTACCTTTACATTTCCAACCCTTACAGTCAGTCCTGATAGTAATTATTCACTATTGTATCACATGAGTGCTATATTTACATCTCCTTTCATCAGTCCCGCCCAGACAAATTGGATAGTACTCAGTGGAGATTCTACTTTCCTCTGCACCCTCTGGATCTTTTAGTGTTTTTTTTTTTTTTAATGTAACCTTGGAAGAGAATGATAGATTGATGCAGAAAAGATGTATTCCAGTGTGCAGAAGAAAGGGTTTCTTTCCTTAAAGTTTTTCCTCTCTATTTTGTTAGTGAAGCCCCTGGGTGGTACAAGTGGTTAATGTATTAGGCTGCCAACCACAATGTTGGAGGTTCAAGTCCACCCAGAGATGCCTTAGAAGAAACGTCTAGTTGCCTACTTCTGAAAAATCAGCCATTGAAAATCCTGTGCAACATATTTCTACTCTACACAAGGGAACAAGCCAGCAACAGCCTCTCAGGAAAAGGATTACAAGCCTCCCTCTCCCCACCACACTGCCATGGAACATGCAAGGCCTCAGAGAGGAAGCACACTCTCTTTGCCCCTGTATTGGAGTTGGTTGCCTGGCTGCTCTGGTAACAGAATCAGGAGCACATGTGGAATCTGCCACCTCCTGGCAGAATTCTAAGTGACGGTGTGGCTGGCCCAGTACCCTGCTCTTTACCTGGCTCAGAACAGTGTGCTCCAGAAGTGGCTGCTCCTTCAGCCTGAGCCCTAGATGTAAGCCCCATGCACACCCACAGTCAAAGTGGATTATCAGTGAGAAATAGATAGGTATTGTTGTAGGTCATAGAAATTCAGAGCTCTTGTTGTAGCAAGGAGTACCCTGGGTGGTGTGAATGGCTAACATGTTCAACTGCTAACCAAGAGATGCCTCAGAAGAAATGCCTGGGAATCTATCTTCCTAAATTTGGATGTTAAAAACCCAATGCAGCACAGATCTACTCACACACATGGGGTCACCATGAGTCGGAATGAACTCAATGGCAGCTGCTTCCCTGTAGAAAAGCTAGTAACCCAATCATTAACTATTTGAGGCAGTGAGAGTTATGGAGAAGGGGGGAAAACTTAAGACCGTCTAAAGAAATCCACCACTGAAGAAATAAGACGTCTCCGATTAAAATTTAAGTGAAGGAGAAAATGGCTCAATTTATAAAAATCCATTTATAGAGTTTTTAGGAAGAGATCTTTTGTATATATAGTCAAACTATCTAAACTTGAAACTATTCATGAATATTAGAAAGGCAAACCTTGAAATGAACTGAAGAAGGTTACAATGTTGGGATGCTTCATCTTTGCCAAAAGAGTAACTTCTTTCCTTGAAGCTTCTTTTTCTTGAATGGGCATCTAAAATATATTAAAAGATAGAGTAATCTGTAGAGGTAATTTGCTTTTAAGAACAGGCTTCCCGCTCACCCCATTTAAAATTCTCCAGACTTTCATTTTGAAATATTTTATTGTGTTTTCAGTGAAGGTTTATACCTCAATTTAGGTTCCCTAAATAATTCTACACAAATTTTTCAGGGACACTGGTTACATTTTTATTTTAAAATGTTAATGTTTTCAGCAATACCAAAGATGGAGGCAGAGATGGGGACATGGAGAGAGGGAGCAGCCGAGGACTCTAGATTCATAGGAAGTGAGGGACTGAGAGCTGGTGGCCAGGAGGCAGACTTGCAGAAGGTGCCCTTTGGTGGTGTAAATTATTATATATGCCTGAGTGTTTAAAAAAAAAAAAAAAGAGAGCTAAAGTGAATAGAGAGAAATACTGTTATCTGATGGTACATGGAGGGGATTATAATCATTGTACTGAAACAAGGTGTATGATTTGTTGAATGTAAAACTGATGATCTGCCTTGTAAACTTCCACTCAATCCACAATAAAAACCTTAAAAAAAAAATTAATGTTTTATTGTGCTTTATTTCCCACTCATCAGTCTGTGACATTGGTTACATTCCCCACAATGTATCACCACTGCCCATTTCTGCCTGGTTCCCTTCCCTTTGTTGAAATTTCCCCTCCTTTCTGCCTTCTCATCTTTGCTTTGGGGCACATGTCCCTTTGATATCATATGTAATTGAATGTTTGATTATACAGCATCAATGTTCCTTTCAGGTGTTACTATTTGCCTGAAAGGTAGTAACACCAGGCATGGCTTCAGTTCCAGGGCCATAGTTTTGGGGTTTCCTCCAGTCTCTGTCAGACTATTTAAGTGAGGTGAATTTGATTTTTTATTCTACATTTTTCTCTCACTCTGTCTGAGACCCTCCTGTTATGATCCCAGTCAGAGATTGATAGTGTTAGCTGGGCATCATCTAGTTCTTCTGGTCTCAGGGTCATGTAGGCTGTGGTTCATGTGGTCCATTGATTCTTTGGACTAACTGCTCTCTTGAGTGTTTAGTTTTCTCCACTCTTGCTCCTGATGGGATGAGACCAATCAATAGTTATATCTTAGATGCTGCTTGCAAGTTTTTTGTGAACCCAGTCACTAGGTTCACAATATAGTTTGACACAATAGGATGTCTTTACAAACTATATTGTGTCAATTGACATAGATGTTCTCTGAGATGGTCCTTTGTCTTCAAGAATAGGAACTTCATTCTGAGAGGTGTTTGCTATGTCCACAAAGTTTCCATGACTGACATTGGTTACAGTCTCTACAATGTGTGAACGTCCTCATTAGTTCTACTCTGATTCTTCTGGTTCCATTAACCTAGATTTCCTGCCTCCTTACATTCTCATCTTTGTTTTAAATTAATTATTGATAGTTTGGTATCATTTAAAAAGTGACTTCTTAAAAAGGAGCATAGTACTTACAGGTATTATTTATTATTTTTGTAAGATTTCACTAGCTTTTAATGCCACATCTAAACCTGAACCCTCAAGGGCAGGGAACAACATTCTAGAGTTAACAGTGTCTGATTTCTCAATGACAATCATAATCAAGAAAGTAAATATTTCTTTTGAAGTTTTACATTATTAAAAGTCCAGATGGGTTGGGGTAGTGTCTTAATTATCTATTCATTTGGAGGAAAGTTATTTTAATATTCATCTTTTAGCTGTCAAATATTTTTTATAAAAATGCAATATTCCAAAAACAATCACTGCTGAGAAGAAGCAAATAAAACCTAAACAAACCCCCCCCAAACAAAAATTCTATATCACATAATCTAAACAGCAAAGTTTGATATTAATAGTATTACATAAAACACTTCTAAATAAAAATAGTCTCTTAACAACTTCACTGTAGATTTCCTGTATTTTCTTATGATTCTATTTATTATTTATAGACAATACTTTTTCAAGTATTTGACATCAATGCCAGACGCCACTCCTCATTTCTACCTTTACTTCCGCATTCTGGATACTGGCTGACTAGCCATTTCTACTCTGACCTCTGACCCCTGGTTACCTCTCTGGCCTCCATGCATGACCATTCTCCCCCAAGTTCCCTCTGCACTGTTTCCCAACACTGGCCAACAGGTAAATGTGGATCTCCAAATTTCTCATTTTCCCATAAGGGCTTATAGATTTTTTTTTTTTTCTTAAATTAATATTCTCAATTACAGTTTAACTGCCTCCTACTGATAACTATGTACCTTTTGGTATATTAACCAGCTCCTCTAAGCTTCAATGCCCACACTTCCCTCAGTTTAAATTGCATAGTCAGCACCGATGAGTTTTAGAACAAAATCAACTAGATTATTCCTACCAGATTAAACATTTTAAAACTACCACGCCTCAAGAAAATATTATAAGCAAAATTAAAAGACAGGCATAAGTTAGACAAAAATGTTGGTAACATATATGACAAAGATTTGTTACTTCTATAATATTTGGGGCTTCTGGTAAATTATCAACCTAAATAATAAAAACAATGCAACAGAAAAATGGCTAAGTATCTGAATAGTAAAAAATTGCAAAACAATTACATGGAAATGGCCACTAAACAGAAGAAAATATTCAGCCTCACTTGAAAAACTTAAACAAAGTCGATATAATGTTTTGTGTATGAACCGACAAAGACAAAAAGACTGTTAGTGCCCACCGTTAGTCAGAAAGCAGTCAAATGACACTCCTGGTGTGGCAACTGCTAACCCCAAGATTGGCGATTCAAGCCCGCCAGCCGCTCCTCGGAAACTCTACACAGAATCACTATGAGTCAGAACCAACTTGACAACACTTAACAACAATTCTTCTAGGGTAAACACTGGACTGTGAACCACAAGGTTAGTGGTTGAGTCCAACAGCAAGCAGTTCCTCGTGTGAAAGATGAGGCTTTCTGTTCCTGCCTCAGAAACCTATACAGTACTGACTCAACTGTACTTAACAACAACAACAATTCTTCTAGAAACTTATCTAAATAAAAGAATTAGACACGTACCCTAAGGTTTTCATACAAACCTTAATTAATTACTGTGTTTTATAGTTGGTTTCCTAACTACTGTAGTAATACATGGGGAAATACATGGGGAACACCATGGCTCTGTATGATAAGCACTGGACTGAGAACACAAAGTCTGCGGTTCAAGCCCACCAACCCCTTGTGGGAGAAAGATGAGTCTGTTTGCTCCTGCAAAGATGTGCAGCCTCGGAAACCCACTACAGAATTGTTATGAGTCCGAACCGACTCAGGACACAACAACAATACATGCCTATAGATTAAAAAAAAAAAAAAAATTATGCCAGATAGAAGTGAATAAAGTAAAACAACCCTTTTCCTCCCGATATATCTCCTTCATTTCCATGCCTTAGTGATAAGTATACAGGTGGCACAGTGACTAAATGCTGGGTAACAGAAAGGTAAGGGGCTCAAACCCACCAGCTGCTTCCCACAAAATAAAGATCGAGCAGTCTGAAGAAGTTGGAAGAATTCTCCAAGTTCATCATAACTAGCTTTAGAGGTTGGTGCGTAAATTTGAATAACATTGGTATTAACTGGACTTCCACAGAGACATATGGATATTAACCAATCAGAGACAGCATCATACTTCAAGATAGATCTAGAAATGTTCTTTTTGATGATGAAAGTGACACCATTCCTTTTAAATTTGTCACTCCGGCATAGTTAATCATGATTGCCAGATTCAAAATGGCCTATACCAGCGCATTTCAGCACACTAATGCCTAGGATATTGGATCTTTATGTGTTCCATTTCATGTTTGACAAGTTCCAATTCTCCTAGTTTTGAACTTTGTACATTCCATGTTCTGATTATTAATGGATGTTTGCAGCTGCTTCTCCTCATTTTGAATTGTGCCTCATCAACAAATGAAGGTCCCGAAAGCTTTACTCCATCTCTGTCATCATGGTCAACTCTGTCTTGAGAGGCAGCTCTTCCCCAGATTCTTCATGGTTTGGCAGTTATGTATGATGTAATCATTACCCATGATGTGATTCGATGTGCTCAACCTTGATTACAGTGGATTAGAGTGGATGCAAACACCCTCATTCAGACCACAGCCCTGGTTCAATGTAAGGGGTATGGCCTACATCACCTTTTCCCTTACAAGAGGAAAAGGAGAGAGAAACAAGCCGAGAGCGGGGAGCTACTACCATCACTAAAGAAGCGCTGAGAGCATGGTGTGTCCTTGACACTCAGGGTCCTGGCCCTAGGAACTTCCTAGACCCAGGGGAAGATTGATAGCAAGATACTTGGAAATCTCCAAGGAATGGTGGGCTTACCAATGCTGAAAGGAGACAAGAACCTTCCTCATAACTCTAAGACAACAGAGAGGAAAAGCTTCCTCTATATCTAGAACCTTGAATTTGCACTCGTAACCCCTGAAACTGAGAGAGATCAACTTCTGTTTGTTAAAGGAATTGTGTGGGAAAATGTGAATAATTTCATTTGACTGTAAAGAGGGGAGGTGGATGGGAAATTTGAAATGCAACTTGGGAAAAAATCAGAGAGTTTCAAAATCAAATCTGAAGAGAAAACAGATATGAAATGATAGAAAACCAGAAGGTAAAAATTCGTTTTTTAAATTTACCTTCCACTCAGCGATGGCAAAAACTTTGTTGCTCCGTATGTAAACACAGATACACATACATGCAGGTATCATTCTGTACATACTATTTTCTCAATTAGCAATTGTTGTGACTATTCCCCATGTCAGTACTTCCCCTAGAACATGATTTCTAAGAGCATTTAGTTTTTCATCAAATACTTAACTGTTCCCCACAGTTAGATCTTCTAAATATTTCTAAATATTTCAAATTAATTAATCAATACACTTCTAAGTGGTAGCATAGTGGTTACGAATCAGGCTGCTAACCTCAAGGACAGCAGTTTGAAACTACCAGCTGTTCTGCAGAAGAAAGATGAGGGTTTCTGCTCCCGCA